TTAAAATGTAACTCAAAAAGCCTCTTAATTGAGTGAATTTATAGACAAACACTATAAATCTGGGGTCCCTAAAGCCTTTTTTGGGAGAAGTAGGAGTGAGATTTCACAGATGTCTTTGATAGTCTGATCAAAACTCTGTATTTCCCTTTAAAAAGTTTATGTGTTAAGCACACACACAGTTCTACACAAATGCTGGTGAGTTCGTAAATGGATCTGATATCCATTCAAAAGCAGCTATATTTGAGTACATTAAAAAGTTTAATTTATTTCCAGTTGGAAGGGGCAGCCAGCTAGAGCAGTTTTAAGTAGGCTTTTCTACGAGAATACATTTGTGGCTGGTATATATTACATTACACAAACAGATTGTATAGTGTGGAACATTCTATACTCTCTTTTCTTTTACAAAGTAAACTAATTTGCTATAGTGCCATCATTCTCTGCTTGCATTCATCCAAATATTTAACTACTGCTATTACTTTTGTAAGAAAATGAGATGTGCATTTGCTTTATGTTCTTGCAAAAAGCATATTGCCGCCCCAAAGTTGATTGACAAGCAATGCAATTACCTTTGCATGGCTAGGCAGGCCGTCTCTGCGTTAAAATCGGGCTGCACCTGTCCAGCGCATGATGGAAACTCCCCTCTCTTGTGACTGGGCTGCAGTTAATTGATCTAGAGCCGTGTCCTAGATACGGACCCCTGTCCTCCTTTCTTTACGTGTTTGATATTTTAAGTGCAGCTATTTGATGCACAGGACCCAGCTGTGTATGTTCCAACAGGTTCTTTGGGTGATTCTGATGTGCACTCAGGTTTGACCACCACTCTGCCTCCCATAGCAGCAAGGCTGCCTGGGCTGGAATCCCAGCTAAGTCAAGTACCTCTAGCACTGTTCACTTCCACTTCTATGCATTTAAAGAAGTGATGATAACATCACACGGGTATTGTCGGGATTCCACGAGATAACAAGCATAGAGTGCTTAGATTTGGGACAAACCCACACTAATTTTTTTTATACACCTCCACAGTGCTAGGAACGGTCCTTGTGCTGGTACCACTAACTTGAAGAAAAACACAGCTCTTGGGTAAAACTGGCAACCTGTCAAAGGGCTTCCTTTCACACCGTGAGTGAGGACAGCCATGTTGGTTCCTCATGTCTGTTTTAGAGCCACGGTGTAGGTAGATCACGCACCGTTCTCTACATTTCTCTCTGAGACATGCGTGCATGCATCGAAAACACTCAATCCAGGAAGCCTTCTGGAGACCCAAAGCTAGAAATTACCCTTCCTCCAAGCCCTCCCAGGAGCCAGGCACCTTCCACCCAACTGGGCCCTGCATCAGCTCTTCCCTTTGCCTGGCTGTGCTTCCTTCTCTTCTCCCCACCCAAGGCTCTGAGATTTCTGTGCTGCTCGCTCAGCCTGGCTTGTATCTGATGCTGGCTGTGCCTCCACCCATTACACGCCCACGCTGCCTCTGTCCCTTTCTTCTGTGGCTCCTCGCACAGCTGTGATTCTGTGCATGGCTTTCTGGCTGTGCACCTGCTGCTTGGAAACTATTGCAAGACAGGTTTAGTGTGGGTAGGGAGGGGTTGCTTCCTCTGCTCCCCATGCCTGGGCATAGTGGCTGGAGTATAGTCAGCCTTTCAACCACAGTGAAGTAATACTTGCCATTTGGGTTGTTTGAGCTTATCAGAATGAGGAAGCTAGATCTCATCTCCCTGCTTCAATATCTCATAAATGTGGGATGTCAGAGCTTCCAAAATGACTTTTCCACAGCCCATAGTGGGAGGACAAAAACATGGCAACTAGGTAACCTGTGAGGCCAGAGTGCCCAAGGTTGAGTATGTAGGTGCAGGTGGGCTTGACATGGAGGCACACCACTGGCCATGGTGCTTAAAAACCTGTCGTAGTGAGGCAAGAGACCAGTCTCCTGGGCAAAGCTCAGCTTCAGCCACAGCAGGAAGCCCCGCTCTTGGTCCACACCCCCACCACGTGCCCCCTGAAAACACCCCGAAGGCCTGGGCTCTGCTCTTTATTCACAGAAGAGCCAAAAATGATGAAGCCCTACCCTATAGAAAGACGAGGTCTTACCCTTTAAAAAAAAGTCATTGTTTCTCCTCTAAATATGCATTTTAATATCTGGTAAAAAAATATTAATATTTTGTTTACTAACGATTCGCTTTCAGTCTAGTCGCCTGCCCCGGACTCCAAATTCAGGTTTTAGTTTTTGAATCTCTGCCCTCATCCTCTCCTCCATACTCAGTGGCTGTCCATGTTCAATAACCAAATCAGAGACAAGCCTGAGACGGCAGGATCCCTCCTTCCGACCCTTTGCTAGTTATCAAATTCTATCTGGAATTAATTTTTAAAAAAGAGAGAGTTCTGTGTCACCTTCTGCCACCTTCTAAAGTCCTGCCTCCCCTTTAGAATATGGGCCTTACTCACTGAACAGACCGTTTTTGTACCTATTCTAGGTATGAAGAAGTGTTTTAGGCATCGCGATAGTGTTGGCTAAGCCATTGGGTGCAGCTTTCAGGGTGAAATGAGCCGCAAGCACAAATATCTTTTAGTATGGTACAGAAATTAAGGAGCGGCCTAGATAAGGTCTGGAAAAGTCATATTGGTGTTCATAAGCGGAGCAACTAACTCAGTTTCAGGTGGGCATTGGGACAAAGGGACAGCGACATTTAATTAGAGTTACAATGCTAAGGATGTGGCAATCCCTTTGCAAATTATATTCCCATAATCTGCCCTTGAGCGGGCCCTTAACTGACCTCTCTTACTACTTTACAAATGAGTAAATGAAGCCCAGATACCTTACGTAATTTGTCTCAGGGCGCCCAGCTATTGCTTGGGGAGGCTGCAGTTTGACAGACGCCCATGTGTCTCCCATCTGACTTGGCTCTGGAATGCTCATCTCTCTGCTTTTGAGTGGGGGCTACTGGAAGAAAAGGCATTCACAGCACAAGGATAGCGTGTTCCCAGGCATGACAGTGTGAAAAAATGGAACAGAGCTGTTTCCTTATAGCTAAATGATCGTTTGGAGGCCAAACTACGTATTTGTGGCTGGCCTCTGTTTCACAGCTGTTCCAAGTCCCGTTGGTGGAGGTGACCCTGACTTCTGACCACCATCAGACACGATCTCTTTGTGCTGGAAATGTTGAAAGAGAATTCAAAGGGAGGCTGAGGCTGCTGTGCCCCTCAGTGTCTCACACTGGGTTTCTATGCTGCTTGCCCTCCTAGATTAAACATGAACAACTGCAAACTCTTCCTACCAACCTCCCTGCAGGTGGAATCCCTGCCATGTTGTTAAAGATGATAGTAGCTGGGGTTCAGTCACCCAGCTCCAACAAAGCTCAGAGAAGCACGCTGTGGTGTTCTCCAGCAAACCAGTGTCACCACTGTGTGTGTGTGAGAGTGTGTGTGTGTGTGTGTGTTACAAAGTACCTTTCCTTGGCTAAATATGTTTGGCTTATATGTGGGTCCACTCTGCTGCTCAAACCTGCTGCCTCCTTTGACAATTAGGGCTGTGCTTCTGTTAGAATCCCGGCTTCATTCAATGGGGGGGCTTGTTGGGCCATTACCAGAATATAAATCATCTAGAAATTTCATGGGAAGATTTCAGGGACAGTTGTCAATAACAATTAACTGTCCTCTGAAAAAACACATGTTTAGAAACACAAGTTTTTATGTTTAAGATATTCTGTGGTCCTTGCAAGAGCCTGTCATGGGTACCTATGATCCTTCTTAAACCTGCTGTAATGCTTAGAAAATGTAAATCAGTTTCTCCTGATTATGTAGCTAAGGACTTCTTTTCCTGGCTGTTGTACTCAAGGTTTACCAAGGAACTTCTAAAAAGAGTCAAGATCATCCTCCTCGTCCAATCCTCTCGCTTTGCAAGTCTCCTCTTTCTTGGGCTTGTTCAGCTACAACGCAAGGCTTTGCTGAGTCTGGAGATAATTATGTGAATATACACACGTGTATTCCTATATCCCCATACAATGCACATATGCACACAATGCACGCATATGTACAAAAAGCACATCCATACACACACATATATTCTTGCACACACACATATGAAATCAGACTGCTAAGTTCATGAACTCATCCTAGAAAAAGTACTACGTGTACCTCACTGCTGAATATGGTGACCTTCCAAGTGCTCGCCTTGGGCAGCTATGCACTGAGGCCAATGCCTAGCCCACCCTCCAAAGCACTTTTGCTAGAATGAGTTTGTGAACACAATCGTCAGACCTTGTACAATGACACCTCCAGTGGCCATTCCAGGCAAAGAGTTTCAAAATTGCTCTGAAGGGTAGATGAGGCTCTGGCGTCAGTGCCCAGCTTCCCGAGGGGGGCATTTCCAAAGTGACCAGAGATCATGCCTCACTCAGCAATAGGGCATGAGTTCCTGAACTTAATTGTCAGACCCCACACATACACGTGTTCACACACAGGCAGAGATATTCTCCTATATTAGCTGTAAGAGCGAGACATGGAATTACCAAATTATAGTGTGAAACAATATAGATAAGCATTTTCAAAACATGCCCGCCTCCCTGAGGCCCTTGCACTATAAGCCATATTAAAAGTGCTACAATATGTGTCTCCACCCTTATAACCATATCCTTAAACAGATGTTTTGTTGGTTTGGGGTGGGGAAGGAGGGAGGCTGTGTGGTTTGACTGCAAACTGATCTTTTAAGAAGCTCACAGATGTAAATCTTAAGCTGTGCATTTCGACACTCCCTCCCAAGTGGGGGCAAGTTTGGTACCCTGCACGCCACCACGTCCTGAGTCTGGGCCAACACCAAGCCCCAGCCCCACTTTCTCGGTTTGATCAATTACTGTTGTCTCCAACCTCCTTAATCAATGTGAAAAAACTCCCCGGTTGCTGCGTTTGGAACGTGTGACCAGACTAACCTCGCCAGTGCAGGGGTTGGTGTGTCTGCATGGGGAAATGCACTAATATGGATGTTTCTCTTTGTGTGTGCACCCTTGCAGTGTTGTTTACCAGGATGGATTTTATGGTGCAGACATTTATGTAAGTATTCATTAACGTGCATGCTGTCCTCGTTTTCTCCCGGAGTCATTCTTTTTACAAGTTTGCTGCTAATTTCTCTACTGGGTGTGGCCAGTTTCCTCCTCTTGGTCAGCAGGAAACAGCCCGGTGACGTGTCCTGCAGGGCAGAAGGCCTTCTGCTCCTGAGCTTTACAGAGACATCATTTGCTGTTTGGTTAAGTAAAATTAAGTCCTTGATCAAGTTGGGAATAAATGCCATCCCTTCTGCAAGAAAACAACATCGTATCTCTCTTAGGCCAATTAAAAACCTCATTCCACCTCCAAAGAAATGGTCTCAAAAGTTCATAATTTGGTCTTTCTGTGTGTTTTCAGCATAATATTTAGGATAACAGCTGTGGTTACCAGCTGCAGAGGGTTAAAAGATATTTTCATGGCTGATGTTTTTGTTGTTTTCCTTCTAAATATAATATTTATTCATCACAACGACCCTAGGAAGATTCTCTCTCTGGACAGGATTGATGTTAGCAAGGAACATCTCGTTCACGTAACAAAATGTATGTGAATTTGAGCATACATCCCTTATTTTCTTTAACCTTTCATTACCTCCTTTTCCTCAAAACAATTACCCGATTTAGACCTGCTTGCTAAGTGGTAGCACTTTATTAAACTTTTTATTTTTAGAAAAGAGTAGGATATTTCTCGTGACAGAAACTGTGATGAAACGTACCTATGGTAAGCTTGGAGGTACTTTGCCTCCCACATTCCAACATGCACATCAGTGTTATAAAAATGATTTGGAATAAACACAATTTATGATAAGTAGGCATATTGGGGGGTATTTTCTAAACCAATAATTTTGGGGGAGATTTTTTCTAAACCAGCAATTTGGGGGGGGTATTTTCTAAACCAATAATTTTTTTTTTTTTTGGGGGGGCCAGGTTTCTTGAACCCACCACCTCCGGCGTATAGGGCCAGCGCCCTACCCCTTTGAGCCACAGGCGCCACCCAGAACCAATAATTTTTTTTTGGTTACAAAAGGCCTCAAATAAGTCAGTGGAATCATTTATTGTGTGTTGTTGTATAGACTAGATAACAAAGAAAAATAAAACCATACTTCTGATCAAATTGATGTTATTTACTGGGAAATGAGAAAGACACTGCCCATTTAACTTTATTCCTTCTGACTTGCATGTCATTGCGATTTTGAGACCTCATGTTATTCTCCATCAGTGACGGTTTGACTTCTGTTATCAAGTGTATGCTCTATAATCTCTGGGTCGGTACTTTTTTTTCCATAATGAAATGAGTGAACAACCTACATGTCCTTTATTTAATCAGCAAACGACCAGTTTCCTTTCTTTGTGGAGCTTAAGCTATTCCTTCTTACACCCTCTCCATCCAGACTCTCAGATGTTAGGATGTGTGCCAGGCCGTGGCTGGGGCCAGGCCGTCTGAAGCTCACCCATTCCTCAGATGCCAACAAACCCAAGGTTCAGTCCATGTCTCAGCCTCCATGCAGGTTATACCAAAGGCAGGAACTAGGATTCTACTGGGCAGAACTGAATTTAGGACATTTTTTTCTTTGTTTTTGTTTTAACTTTGGTTTTGGAAATAGAGGCAAGTAGATAAAGGCCAGAGACTTTATTTTTTTTTCATTTTGATTTTTTTTTTTTGGCACCTGTGGGATGTACCCTGACATCATAGCTCACAGCAACCTCAAACTCCTGGGCTCAAGCAATCCTCCTGCCTCAGTCTAGCTGGGACTGTAGGCGCCAGCCACAATGCCCAGCCAGTTTTTCTATTTTTATTAGAGACAGGGCGTCTGCTCAGCCTGGTCTCAAACTCCTAACATCAAGCAGTTCCCCCACCCGGACCTCCCCCTGTGCTAGGATTACAGGTATGAGCCACCATGCCTAGCCAGAATGGAGATTTAAAAAAGAAAAATCCACCGAGACCAAAATTATCTCCATCAGTACCCATCCAAGTGGAAAAAACTGTGGATGTTCCTTAGCCTAGTTAAAAATAAAAATGAAAACGAAATACTATCATTCAGCTATCATTTACCGAGTATTCATCACGTGTAAAATGGCAAAACGGTGGAAATTAACCTGTGGTCTCTGAGGCATATCTGAGTCTTTTCCTAGCCTTATAGATTTGGGCATGGCAGGAAATAGAAGCTTCCTGAAGACAGGTGCAGTGAAGACCCCACAAAATTGGGAAATAATGCACTCTCAGGGGTCCTCAAACTTTTTAAACAGGGAGCCAGTTCACTGTCCCTCAGACTATTGGAGGGCCGGACTGCGAGCCCCGGGATGAGTTGGCTGCTAAGCAGGACAGGCAGCGCTGGCAAAAAGACCCAGCTGGCCGGATAAATGTCCTAGGCAGGCCACAGTTCGAGGATGCCTGCGTTAGAGTGTGTCTGTATGGACTGTGGCATGAGACATATCAGAAAATCCAAAAAACCAAGGCACACAGAGGCACAAAAATCAATAAGGAGAAGGGAAGGTGCCCGTGTGTAGACTGAAGTGGGAACAGGATTCTGTTCAGGGGAGAAATCCACTGAAATAATCCCCTGTGCCTTTTCTCTCCTTGGGGGCTTCCTTTCCCACAGCTCTTGTCCTGGCCTTGAGTTGCTTGTTTCCAGCTTTAGGAAACAGCCCCTACCAGGGGCCTTGCAAACATTGTAACCTAATTATTTAGACCTTCATATTTATCAGAAATAAATAAAAAAACAAAAAAGGAAATTGCCCCTCTCTCACTTTTCAGGTCACCTATACCAGTCAAAAAAAAATGTTACACGATTTCCCCATTGTGGATATTATAATGACAGTGAGATTGGGGGGGGGGGCAGTTCCAGATAGATCACAGATCAAATTATTGAAATGTTAGAATTTTTTTACCCAGTTTATGGCCTATCTCCGAGAATCTCACTAGATGTGCAGGCCCTCCTGGATTACTGTTCTGTGTAAGATGACGACTGCGTGTGTGTAGGACAGGAATGAACACCATTGCACCTCCCATCTCAGCAGTATAACAAGGACCCAGAGGTGGCCTTAAGCTTTTTTAAGGAAAATAGATAGTGTAACTATTTCCTGCACTTTAGAAGGTATGGTGCAAGATTCATCACAACTAAAATCATATTATACTCTTGAATGTGCTTTTTTCAAGCCACTGGCCCTACCTCCCTTGAGATCCTAGGATGCTTTGATGAGTAGAAATGTCCCCTCTGCTCCATTTTTTTTTTTTTTGAGACAGAGTCTTACTGTGTCACACTCTGTAGAGAGCTGTGATGGCACAGCTCACGGCAACCTCAAACTCTTGGGCTTAAGTGATTCTCTTGCCTCAGAGACCTGAGTAGCTGGGACTACAGGTGCCCACCACGATGCCCAGCTATTTTTTTATTGTAATTGTCATTGTTGTTTGGCAGGCGGCAGGCCCGGGCCAGGTTCGAGATTGCCAGCCCCGGTAAATGTGGCTGGCACCCTAGCCTCTGAGGTAAAGGTGCCAAGCCCTGTGCTCCATTTTTTAAAGAGATGATGATCAACGAGATCCCTAGAAAATCATATGAGGTTCTGTTTTATTTGAAGAAAGTTTCTGGCTTACCCCTTCATTCTCATTTAAAAATAGTGCTCAGTAAATAGGTTTAGGGCAATTCTGAGAGGTCTGAGATATATGTTAGATAAGTCAGTCACGTCTAATAGATTTCAGCCTCTTCATTCTGTTTAAGTTTATTGGGCAGAATAGTAACTTCTAGCTTAGGTTATTTCTGAGTAACACAAGGGGAAGACACTCGAATCAAACCATCCTCCCTGACAGTGAATCACAGCAACTCCGCGAGCACCATGTTGTCCCTACTCCAGAGCTACTGAACTTTGTCAGCCCCTGGACCCTCTCCTGCCCTTGCCCTCTGTACTTCTAGCACTTTCCATCTCCACCATCTGATGCTGGGGCCCTGGGGTATTTCCCAGGCCTCCTGGAGCCCTAGGGTTTGAGAGACCTGGATGGATCCTTGCAAATGACAAGCCATAGCCTTCCAATTAGAATGACCTCCTCCTGGAAGTTTTCAGAACAGATAGGATAAGATGGAGAGGGGAAGATGATCACAGATGTCCTGAAATTGCCAAAGGGAATAGGCTTGTTATGAGATGCCATAAGCCAGACACAAGGAAAAAATCAAGGTGGTTTGATTGGGCCATAAGAGCATCTATCCTGTGTAGAAGCTGAGCCTCGCAGGGAAACCAGCACCTAGTCACAACGGAGACACCAGGTGCAGTGTGGATGCCTACTCAGCTGAGATGATCTGGGGAGTTTCTGAGTCAGAAAAGAGGGTAGTCAAGGCCATTGCCAGAGTCCTTCTGCCTGAAGACATACACACACATTTTATTTAAGAAGTAGGAATTTAATTTGTATAAAGAACATCTAAAATCTATAAGTCTACTATTACTGATTAGCAGTGCACATTTAAATAAATTCTTTTGTTTTAAGAGGTGGGGTCTCACTCTATCACTCAGGCTAGAGTGCAATGGCACCATCATAGCTCACTGCAGCCTCCTACTCCCAGACTCAAGCAATTTTCCTGCCTCCACCTCCCAAGTAGCTGGGACTATAGGTAACGCACCACCACACCCAGCTAATTTTTCTGTTTTTCATAGAAATGGGGTCTTACTCTTGTTCAGATTGGTTTCAAACTCCTGAGTTCAAGTGATCCTCCCATTTTGGCTTCCCAAAGTGCTAGGATTACAAATGTGAATCCCCCTACCTGGCCAAATAAATTCATTCTGATGAAAAAGTAGGTCAAGTTAAAGAAAATAATTAATAATGGTAGAGAGGACACAAACCACTTGAAAGTTGCATGAGAAGAACTAAGTTTCTGAGACATACAAAACCATCTGTTGTATTTAGGGGTGAAGCTATAGATTTCATGAGACCAAAAAGTGACCCCAGAGCTGAAAATACGTTTTGCTTAATTGAAGGAGACCTGCTGGTTGCCACACTCTTAATCCTCTCAGGGAGAGAGCAAA